TTTTGAAAAATCTTTTTTTGAATAACTCATACCCACACAACCTAATTAATAAAATTTTATTCAGTACATCCACAATAGATCCTGCTGAGCTGAATAACAGGATTACAGACAATAGTAACAATATTACTAATGCAATTCCAGTACCTTGTATTTATGCATCACTACCTTACATCAGTGAAGTCACTCCAAAACTTTCTAAGATTTTTGAGGATCATCCTAACATCAAAATCGCTAATAGAACAGTTTTGCCACTTAAATCGTTGTTTTCAAAAGTCAAAGATAAAGTCCCACTAACATCACGTTCGAATGTAGTTTACAGCATTCCTTGTAGAGATTGTAACTTGCAATATATCGGACAGTCCAAAAGGTCTCTAGCGAATAGAATCACATCTCACAAAAGTGACTGTAGGTTGCATCCTGAACGTTGTGCACTGGCTGAACATGTTAATCAATATGACCATCAAATGGATTTCCAGTCAGCAAAAATTCTGGCAACTGAACAAAATTCCAAAAAACGAACTTTTCTTGAAATGGCTTTCATCTCCCAGGAAAACAACTGCATAAATAAAAGAACTGACATAAATCATCTAAGCATAATTTATTCACACTTACTTGCAATGGATATTAAAACTTCGACATGAATATTATCTGTTTTCTCCATTTTCCAATGTTCAGATTTTTCAGATGACAGTCAAGCCTTCTTCTTCTTTTTTCAATACCAGAATTTGTCTGTTCCAACCTAAACGTACATCCAGTGCACACAGCACTCTGAGTGATTTTGTTTTGGAATTGACAGAGAAGATTAGGTTATGTTGGTCCTAACCGCGTTAACCATAACCTGACTTTCCATCCGTGGTTTTCCAGCATGGATGTGAATAATAAAAAAATTTTTTAAAATGTTAATTATTTCGTCTGGTCTTTTTACAAATTTCTAAATGTCAGTATTTTGCCTTTTTTATTGCCTTGACTATTGTGGAGATTTTTTATTCCTACTGATGGCACCATGTGTAATGATATGTCTATCATCTTATAACATCCATGTAATTAATCTCAACAAAGATGTATGTATATTTATATTATCTATTTTTGTGCACATTAATATGATATATCATTGTAGCATCCCTGAAGAAGGAAATAAACATTTCCGAAAGCTTGGATAAACTTTAAAGAGTTTTTCGCTTTTACTTGCTGCATTCCCCAATACATTAGTTTTCTTCCTACTGGTCAGCAACGACTTCCCTTCCATAATAATCCACAGATATGGGGTTCTACACCAACATCTCTACTACATATGGCGATTTAGCAGTTATAAAGTTGAAACAATGGTCCAAGATCAAGATGAAATTAGCAAAAGAATCAAACAGAAGATGTTTCCTACTGCAATGCAGGTCACAAGGAATTTTGCCACAACACATTTCTTCAACCACAAGACCAGTGGAGAAACTTCTTCTACGACAAGATGCACAATCTAACTTCACATATAATAATCACAGGTTAGGAAAAAAACTTTTGAATAACGAAATTTCATCCAATGACAAACTCATCAGTAAGTTACAAAATTCTCTAAGGTTAGTGAAAACAGATATTATTTCGTTGATTAATGAACAAGTTTTCCTAGACTTCAAAAGTACACAAATTGTAAGATATAATAGACTTTTTCACAAAGTCAAGAACAAGAATATCATCAAACTCAAAAATTTAAAACAGTTCGAATTAAATAGTAAGTTGAATTCTCAACCACACTGGTTGAAGAATATTTCAAATTCAGTCATCCCAGATGACATTTCTCAGTTTTTGGCATTAGGTCCGAAATTCAGCATCGAACCAATCATTAAGAAAGATATTGCAATCAAGCAAATTCTGGCAGATGTGGATTATGTCACTTCTTCCATCATTGACACTGACCTCAGAAATATCAGTATTTCAAGAGCTACTAACATCATTACAAACCATGTGCACCATTCTCATAACAATACATCTCTTTTTCGTAATCTTTTCAATGACACAAGAATTTTCCTTAAACAGAATCCCAATTTAGTCCTCACTCAATCAGATAAAGGTAACGTTACCGTAGTGATGGAAAAAGATCAGTATATCGAACTTTCAGATAACATCATAGTAAATAGCTCCTCTTACATTGAATTAAATAAAGATCCAACATCTACAATCGAAAGAAAAGCTAATTTGTTAATAAAATCACTTCATGAAAAGGATGAAATTGACATAATTATGAAAAAGAAACTCACAATTTACAACAGCATTTCTCCAAAATTTTATTCATTGCCAAAAATTCATAAACCCACTTTAGCAGTCAGACCGATAGTGGCATCAATTGGTGCCCCTACGGAAAAAATAGCATCTTTTCTTACTGATATTCTCACTAAGGCATATGACAATGATAACAGATATTTCATTAAAGATTCGTTCGAACTGTCTTCACAATTTAATAATATTCAATTACCTGACAATTTTGTGTTGGCTAGCTTAGATGTAGTCTCACTATTCAGCAATGTGTATCTAGAAACCTGTCTTAGAGCCATTGACAAAAACTGGAATCGCATCAGTGATTATTGTAATTTAAGCAAAGACTCCTTCCTTGATTTGATAATTTTTCTTTTTGACAGCACATATTTCTCTTTCAATAACAAATTTTATAAACAGACTTTTGGCACACCTATGGGTGCTTCAATATCACCAATCTTAGCAGCATATGTTATGGATGAACTATTAGACTCTGTCCTACCAGTCCTCTCTTTTGATGTATTTTTTATCAAAAAATATGTTGATGACATTATTTTGGCCTTACCGAAGGATGGTATCAATGAGATCTTAGACACTTTTAATAGCTACGACCCACATATCCAATTCACTATGGAAGCTGAAGACACAGAACATTCCGTTCCTTTCTTAGACACACGATTGATAAGATTGGAGAATAACAAAGTTCTAATTGACTGGTATAGAAAACCCTGTAGCTCAGGTAGATACCTAAACTATTTCTCATACCACAAACAGTCAATGAAAGTGAATTTGGTGAAACAAATGAAAAATCGAGTGATTCAGATTTCAGATGCATCTTTCCATAAGAAAAATTTAAATATTTTGAAAAATCTTTTTTTGAATAACTCATACCCACACAACCTAATTAATAAAATTTTATTCAGTACATCCACAATAGATCCTGCTGAGCTGAATAACAGGATTACAGACAATAGTAACAATATTACTAATGCAATTCCAGTACCTTGTATTTATGCATCACTACCTTACATCAGTGAAGTCACTCCAAAACTTTCTAAGATTTTTGAGGATCATCCTAACATCAAAATCGCTAATAGAACAGTTTTGCCACTTAAATCGTTGTTTTCAAAAGTCAAAGATAAAGTCCCACTAACATCACGTTCGAATGTAGTTTACAGCATTCCTTGTAGAGATTGTAACTTGCAATATATCGGACAGTCCAAAAGGTCTCTAGCGAATAGAATCACATCTCACAAAAGTGACTGTAGGTTGCATCCTGAACGTTGTGCACTGGCTGAACATGTTAATCAATATGACCATCAAATGGATTTCCAGTCAGCAAAAATTCTGGCAACTGAACAAAATTCCAAAAAACGAACTTTTCTTGAAATGGCTTTCATCTCCCAGGAAAACAACTGCATAAATAAAAGAACTGACATAAATCATCTAAGCATAATTTATTCACACTTACTTGCAATGGATATTAAAACTTCGACATGAATATTATCTGTTTTCTCCATTTTCCAATGTTCAGATTTTTCAGATGACAGTCAAGCCTTCTTCTTCTTTTTTCAATACCAGAATTTGTCTGTTCCAACCTAAACGTACATCCAGTGCACACAGCACTCTGAGTGATTTTGTTTTGGAATTGACAGAGAAGATTAGGTTATGTTGGTCCTAACCGCGTTAACCATAACCTGACTTTCCATCCGTGGTTTTCCAGCATGGATGTGAATAATAAAAAAAATTTTTTAAAATGTTAATTATTTCGTCTGGTCTTTTTACAAATTTCTAAATGTCAGTATTTTGCCTTTTTTATTGCCTTGACTATTGTGGAGATTTTTTATTCCTACTGATGGCACCATGTGTAATGATATGTCTATCATCTTATAACATCCATGTAATTAATCTCAACAAAGATGTATGTATATTTATATTATCTATTTTTGTGCACATTAATATGATATATCATTGTAGCATCCCTGAAGAAGGAAATAAACATTTCCGAAAGCTTGGATAAACTTTAAAGAGTTTCGCTTTTACTTGCTGCATTCCCCAATACATTAGTTTTCTATATATATATATATATGATTTTTTCGATAATCTCAAATCATTCGAATTCCTAAAATCGGGTAATAGATACTGAGAATAGGTATTGCGTTTATTGTCACAGAAATGGGGAGAATGGGTGTGAAACATTTGCTATAATATAGATATTTTATTCCGCTGATGGTACTTCTGCCAGAGCGATATATATATGTAATAGTAATTATAATATATAGTAACATAACTTTGATAATCGAAAGAAGAGATCTCATTTGAAGGATAAAAAGTTCCTATGGGCATTTTTTGGTCATGAGAAGCTTTGTTTTTTGAGGTTACAGGGGCGCTGAAATTGAGAATAAACTCGCGATGATTTTCATATACACCCTCCTATATGATAAAAAATAATATCCCTTGTGGTTATCCAGTAATAATCATAATATTATGTAGGTTCTGAAATTTGTTTTTTTTTGTCTTTCCGTTTGCAAAGTATTCGGGAATTTATTTATAAGTAAATTACTTCTTATACAGAGTATTATAATGTTTTTGATTTGCCGAATTTCTAACTATAAAACAAATTCCGAACACTTCAGCTGTATGGTGTCGTTCATATTGAATAGTCGTATAATATGTATCTATACAATAATTTGAAACATATTCTGAAATATGTGCACTATAGATTTATGAATTACATGTAATAAAATATACACCTTCATTCATTTTCTTCCGTTACAGTCAATTATGTTGCGAACATGTGCGACTAAATCACCAGTATTAGCACCGTTGAGTAGTTTCAATGTATTATTATTATGGGCTTTGTATGGAATTTTGGACGTTCTCAATGCTTCCTTAACGCAATTTAGTACATTGACGCCATTCGGTACATAATTCGTACGATACACTTCCTTGGCATATGGATGGCGTTTATGTAGATGTTTCAATGTGTTGGTGAGTGAGCGACGTTGACAGCGTGTGAAAACCACTTCACCGCAGCCGTGTTCCAACTCATGTAAGGCAATGGTGTGTAATAAGCTACTTTCCTGAGGTTTAGCTATCACATCCTGAACGATATCGGTTAGACGACGTGACAAGGCTATCGCATCATGGCGGGCTGACTCTACATATTCAGTTGTTGTTTCCATCAGATGTCTATTAAAATCAATAAGCATCTGATGTGTGAGTATCAGTTGATTCTGCATCTTCTGATTTTCTTTGATGACGGCAGCAGCGGTGGCATTGAACTGCCCACTTTTTCGCAATGCTGGTAATACATCCTCGTAAATCCATTTCGTAAACTTGATGGCTTCTGGTTTTTTTGAACGTGTGATGAGGGCATAAAGGCCGGGCTCTGAGATCAATATTGTATGCGGCTGCCAATTTGATGGAGTTGCAACAGGGGTATCCAATTTTTGGATACCCTTCACACAATCTTTCCACGCACGTTTCCATTCGCTGCTAACGTTATCTGAAACAGCTTTGGTTGGGCGACGATATCCCAAATATCTCGCTATGTCACTTCCTTTGAACCAGAATTCCCCCGTTGATGATGATCGATCGTTGTTTTTTTCAGTGATAAATATGTAGCATTCGAATGCTGCAACTACAGCGTTGTCAATGAAGAATTGTCTACGCACCAGAGGCATATTATTCGCGCTGATGTGACGACCAAACCCTTCAACGATATATTGGCTTCTAACAGCGACCCTTGAAACACCTTCTACTTTATTCTTAAACTTGTTACTTCAAAATTGAGTGTAATTATCTCACCGGCCTCATAGAATTACGTAATAGGTAAAGGAAGGGGATTCACCCTTCATTATGAAAATTCGGTGCCAACATTCCAGAGACTTATTTTCCAGGTCAAAATAATACTTTTTTTCCTATAAGTATGTGTCCGCAAACGCTTCGTTGCCGACATACAGAGTATTGAAGTTTTGGGATTGCGAAATTGGAGCAATCCATGAAATGGATGATAGAAGACGTGAAAACAAAACGAAATGTGAGAATACAATTTTTGTCGAAAAAAAATATTTTGGATGATATTGAGCATCAAAGTTTGCCTGAAATGTTTGTAAATTATTGATCAGAGGTTAATAGCCCCCCTTTCGGTGGGGTCACAAGCATCGGAAATTGTCAATTGCTTTTTGCAATAATATTGCTGGACGTTCAATAATGCTTAGTTGAAAGATTTAGTTATGGTGGGAGCGCCCTTTTTTGAAATATATTCAAAACATTTTTTTTGTCCTTGATTCATCATGCCATTATGTCTCATAAAACACATCCCCCATTTTATAAATCGCCACAATTTCGAAAAACATTCTATATAAAATCAAGGTTTGTTCGTTTTCTAATTCTTTAGGCTATGTTTGGAAACTTGTATTCGAGATCACGAACTGAATATTATGTAGCGTTGTTTGTTTTAAATAATCGTGATAATTGGCCACTCTCCTTTTTCAAGAATATTGATTTAATCTAGCGAATTATGGAGAAATGATAACGGTCGCAGATGCATTGAAATAATAATAATTGACAAAGAAGTTCACGAATGGAACAAAGAGCTCATTTCGTACATCAATATCTATCAGTGGCGCGCCACAAGAAAGTTTATGGAGTGAAAAAGGTCTTGACCCCTTGTAAATATACCTATGTAGATTCTTACAATTACTTATGATGCTGTATAGATAGTGTGAACCCTAAAACGCAGCCCTTGTTTCAAATTCGATCTGAATATTCCGAAATAGATCGGTGAGGAAGCGTTTGCGGGCGCGAGTTTATGAGAAAAAGTATTATTTCTTTCATCTGAACAATAAGCACCCGAAATTTCGATACTGAGTTTTGAGAATATAAATCTACATATAGGTATAGATTTTGTTATCGAAATCCGTTATTTTGTATAGAATCGATGCGTAGGTATGTGACTCATCAACATAATCTTGCATACTTATATACATTTTGAATCAAAAACAATCCATAATCTGTCCGAGGTCACTCATCGGGGTGAATCGGGTCTCTCTCGCAAGGTGTTCAAATCTCGTCAAGAAAGAAATTTTTTTTTTTAAATATATACATTTTCCAAGAGTTCTGGCTATATTAAATGCAATCCACAATTTGCCTGAGGTCACTCATTCAGTGAATCGGTTTTCTTGCAAGGTCACCTTCCTATCGAAAAAAACATTTTTGGTTAACATATTCAGAATAAATATACATTTCTCGAGGATAAATGATTCACTCATGGTGCGGGGTCGCTCATCGGGTGAATCAAGACCTCTCGTGGTTAATCTGCTCCCGATATCGCCCGCAACATCCAATGTCACCAATCTGTCCAAGCTTAATGATATCTAACAGCATTATTGACGCAATCTCGCATATATCGAATACAAAACGAAATTTTTCAAATAATCCGAGGTCACTCATCGCGTGAATCAATACCCCTCAAGGTTACTCCACTTCTCAAACCAAAAAATTACCACTCTGTCCGAATTCACGGGATCGTCCGCAACATCAGAGGTCACTACCCTGTCCGAGCTTATGGGTACCTAACAACAACATCACTGACGAAGTCTCGCATATGGCAAATGCGAATAATCCGAGGGTACATCAATCTCGATGTTACTTCACCCTAGAGATCGCCTGCAAAACTCAATGCCACCACTCTATCTCTCTGAGTAGCTTATAACATGATTGACGTAATTCCTACACATCGAGGTCGTCCATATTCCTTCAAGGCCAATCTGTTGAGAATTCTCCTCGCAAAACCATCCCGCCCAAGGTCACTCCCGCCCAAGGTCACTCCGCCCAAGGTCACTCCCGCCCAAGGTCACTCCCGCCCAAGGTCACTCCCAAGGTCACTCCCGCCCAAGGTCACTCCGCCCAAGGTCACTCCGCCCAAGGTCACTCCCGCCCAAGGTCACCTCCAAGGCCACTCCGCCCAAGGTCGCACTCCAAGGCCACTCCGCCCAAGGTCGCACTCCTCTGGCCTTGGGCGGAGACCCAGAACCGGTGAAAACTATCTACTGCCCAAGCATACCATCTGAATTTCCTATCGAGTACAGAAATAGTCGATCACTTGATTCAATTTTTCCCACATCACGGTGTTCTCGAACAAATCATCGTTGAAAATGGTACCGAATTCAAAAATTCTGTAATTTCCGAATTACTCGGATTACACAAAATCAAAACACACTTCTGCACACCTAACCACCCCCAATCGAACGGGCCATTGAACGTTTCCACTCGACAATTATCGAGCATGTACGACTCCTCAACACAAGAGGATTCCTCAAAACGCCTGTAAAAATGAAAATGGTTTACGCCGATCTTGCCAACAACCACTCCTTGCACACTGTGAAAAATATGAAACCAATAGATATCATTAACGGCCACATTACAAATAACGACCCCTTCAATTTAGAAATTGAAAAACTACTGATTAACGACTATGTGAACGACCATGAAAAACGTGCGAAATTAATATATTCTCGAATAAACCAAGACCTAATCGGTGATAAGAGTAGACGTATCATAAAAACTAATAAGCATCGCGACAACCCCGAAATATTCCAGCCAAGTCAAATTGTTTTCAAAAAAAACCAACCGTACTTGTTTCAGTTGATAATCGACGTAAAACAGTATCTACTAACGCTCAACAAAAGACCTTCAAATTCAAAGACTGACGAAATACTCATATCTCTTTCAGCTCACTTGGTACCTCAGGGTCTCCAGAAGTAAAACTTAGTAATTTAAACAACAACATCCCTGGCCTAATCCCACTCAAGATTGGCACCGCAAAAATACAAGGAAGCTCACATCGACTTATACACTTTCACGATCTTCAGCCTTTAATTTCGGAAATGAACTTATTGAAAACCCAGTCACACCAATCAGACGTCTCGATAAACAGAAACCCGATTTACTTGAACGACTCTCCAAATTACCTTAAAATACTGAAATTTGATGAAGAAAAAGTAGAAAATAAACTGAAAGAAATATAACTACATCCAAGTAGAACCAAACGCGGCTTGAGATGGGGTTTACCCTCTGAAAGAGGTCAAACTTTATCTAAGTTGTAAAGGGGGAAGTAAAAATCCTGTCCGAAGGAGGCGGGGCCCGATAACGAAGGAAGTCGTCTAGTGTCTCACTCCAACTCATTCTAGCGTAAAATATTCCAACATTCATAGTAAAAGCGGCCTTGAGTGTTACCCCTATCTGCGGTCGTCTGAATTCCCCGAATAAATCCAACAGGCACAGCGTACAAGTTGTGCTTTAGGCAATATACATCTAGTGTAGAGGAGAATGAGGCAAAATTCTCTTCCTTACAGACTTTTTTTTTCGTAGTAGAAAGATATAGGACCTTCACCATCTTGAATATATATGATTATTACATAATATTTCAGCTTGACTACTTTTTTTCATGGTACCGAAAAAAGTTATAGGCGACCAAACTCGAAAATTTAAGAAAAAAATAACTTTGCGCGTAAATATATAAACCTTTGTAACTTCGCAATTATAGCACTTATATACGTGGTCATTTTATAATATGAATAAGCATATTCTGGATATTCGATTCATATATAATATGTTAGGAAATTGCATTATTTTTCGATCCAAAATGTATCATTTTGTACAGAATTCGCGAACAAAATTCCATTGTCATCTCTTCAGTTCATCATAACTTTTTAGTTCACGATATGAATTTCGATTTTTATGATATCTTTCGATAGATTGAAATGTGAGCAACAAATTGTTTTCCATAAACTTTTCGCTCGTTTCAAAAATGAACTTTGTAGAAGCATTTATTGTCTAATACGTAAGAGGCCATCCGAGCACACGAGTGAGAACAATACAGCGGCGTTTACGTGCTCTAGACTAAAACAAATAGTTAAGATTCGGGGAGGATAACTGTCTCATTTGGGAATGGAGGAAGGAGCGTTCTTGGTTGAATATGTAGGTAAATAACTTCAGTTCATAAATATGGACCCAAAATAATTCACTTCAAAGGCAACGAAGTGAAAATGGTAAAGAAAAAATACCAAGAAGATATTGGGAGATGCTAGAATTTTCCAAACATGAGTCCCCGAAAAAATTGATCAACATTATACAGCTGGACAAACTATAGTATACCAATATGGTATATTTATGATAAAAGATTTTTTCAGAGTCTTTGAGAGGAATGTGTGATAAATTTTAGTTAGATTCAATGTTTTACATCAAAATTGACATTCTTAGCGAGCAAATATGTAAATTTATCGATATAAATCTATTATATTCAGAGAAGTTGAGGCATCTAAGTTATGTAGTCTTCAAGTTACAAAGGTTCATACATTTACATGCGAAGTAGATTTTTTGTTGTAATTTTTGAGTTTGTTCGTTTATAACTTTTTTCGGTACCATAGAAAAAAGTAGTCAATTGTTTCTAGATAGGATAGTGGGGGTCTGATATCTTTCTACTTCCAAAATTTTTTTTGATTACTTTTACCTTGTGCTCCGCTACAATAATAACTATGAGGAGGACATGTTTTCACGTAAAAATCCCCTTGCTCGTTTCATCCCCTTTGCCTTCACTGATTCCAGCCACCAGCCCCTCAAAAATGTTAAATGACATTGTAGGGGTGAGAAGTTTTCAAAAGAATATACCCGGTATACC